ACTACCGAAAATCCTATGTCTTACATTGATCTGGAGGTTTAATAAGCCCATACCTCTTTTAAAAAAGAGGAAAGTGTGATACAAACTTTAAATTTCTGCAACCTGCTCCATACAGATATGGACGTCAAAATTACATGCTTTAAACAGGTCAGTGCCATCAGCCAGACAAAACATCCTGTTTTGCTTTGTTGCGTGAAGAAGTTGGTGATGTGAAATGGTCACCAAGATTATGCTAGTCATTACCACTGTATTTCTGTTTTTGTAAAGTTATTCAAAGGATCATATTTACATGACTCCCGGCAGTTAACATCCTGACGAATATCTGTCAAATAATGGCAGAGTTACTGCCAACAAATCATTGAAAATTATCTTAATTAATTAAGGATTGAGTTCCGTAAGATGTGCCGTGGATGATATTTCTATGATGTTCTATTTCAAACCCAATAGCAATATACAATCAATACGTCGAAATAATATTGAGAGAAATCTGAAATCAGAAATGTGTTTTTTTAAGTGTACTATTAAAATCAAAAAGTGGATAATCCTATCCTAGATTTCATCACTAATAAAAACCAATCGGTTCAAATTTTGTTGGAACTAAGGTACAAGTACAGATGGTTGCATAACAGAAAATATCTAAAAAATTAACTTATTAATACACATTGTTTATGTATATACGATATGAATGATAGGATAATGTAAAAATACATATATTTTTACAGATAATCACTCAAAAATTTTTATGAAACAACCCCGGTTGAAGAGTGCCGTGCTTTTTATTCAAAATTGTAAAGCTCAAACTGTCACTTAAGTTATTTGAATTTATTATGGATTTAATTTTGATTTCATATTTATAAATTTATTTGTTAAAGTAAGTTGTTAATATCTGCTCTTAATTGTTTAATATGTTAATTTAGAGTGAAATATACACAAATTTTGGTATTTTGGTGATTTGAAAGTTACATTCAAAGTCCTTTGAACAAAAAAGTTTAAAACTACTTGGGCATTACTTCATACCGAGAAGTTCGAATAAAAGCCCCACATCTTTTACTTTCAACCAAAGAAGATGTTTAATACTCAATGAGGACAACAAGGAGAATATAAATAGTATTTATAAAATGAATAAAAAATACTATTAAAAAAAAATTGATTTATTTTCGAAAAAATGCACTAATGCTCTATTTTCATATACATACATAAAGATAGGATGGACAGACGGACGTGTGTTGTTTTTGTAATTGTTGTAATCCACATACGGGTGTATCCTTTATATTGACCAAATTTAAGCTTCTCTAAACTTTAAAATGCTAAATTGAAAAGCTTAAAGAATTAAGTCGCTATAACCGATAGTCGTTATAAGCAATATTTTCATAAATGTCCTTTATTCTTATTTTAAAATAGAATACAATACATTTTTCAAGACTTTTATTCTTAAAACATCAAATATCGTTAAATATTAAATTTTGAATCAATAAATTTTAAGTTAAGCTCATTTCTTATATGAGATAGACTATTTAATGCAAACTGTTTATTTGAAAATTCATTAAATAATAAATATTTTTGAACATTCCAATCGCTTCGCAGACCTTAGCTATTGGTAGACACCCAAAGGATGTATTATCACTTTGTTTACCGCTATCCGCCTCACATTCACCTTATACAGCTGTAATAGATGTTAAAATATCGTCGTTGTTATATTCTTTACATAACGATTATCATCAACTGCTACATGATTAGCAACAGCTTCGACGTAAGCCTGTATTGGCATACCAGACGATGGAGATAATGTATTCATATAATAGACCTTCAACAAAACCTGGATACTGAAAACAGTTTATATTTAAAATTTGTAGATTTCGATAATTTGTCTTCAATGTTTTTAATAAGTCCTGCCTGATCCGTAAACCGTAGTATTGATATGACGTTCGATGACTAAAAAATCAGTTTGATTGAATTTAAACCTTTTACTTGACAATAAGCAGGACAATTGTTGACTACCAGACATATTTTCTGCGTTCTTTTCTAGAACTTCTATCCCAATCACTTAACCATTTCTCAAAAACTATTATTGTTGTCCATGCTTTTGTATTGAATTCATATTCAGCCGGTAGATGGTAAACGTTCTTGAAACATCTTGAACTTTTCAATTTTCCAATTACTAAAAGCCACTTTTTGATGTTCTAGACATATGGGCAGCTACCATTACAGTCAGTCAATCTTTTGATAGTTTTCCATTTGAGTATTTTTGAACTCAAAAAATACACCACTTTCATTATCATTAAAAACATTGTGAGCAGAATACTCTGCGCAGAACTGAGGCCACATACTGTGCAACAATTTTTCAGCTACTCCATCTGGTACAACACTACGTTCACCGGACAATTTACTAAAAGTAATTTTGCGCCCTGCTCGGAATCGTTGAATCCAAGATATCGAAATTTCCTTATTAATGTCAAATTTGGTTACAAAAGTCTCAGCCTGAGCGTTTAATATTGGGCCATTGACTGAAATATCAATATATTTTTATAAAAGCCTGAAGTGTAGGAAAATTCGATAACGAATCCCCTACACAATTATATTGACACCTCACACCTTCTTTTATATCAAAACATCATCACTGCAATTATGCTTTTCAGTATTTTTAAGTATCAATAAAGCATCAATGGTTTTCCTATGACATGCAATAAACAAAAATATATTTACGTGGTATGGCAGTGGCATCGCTGATTGATTCCAAAGTATCGATGCATCACCGCTGATACATCAATTCTCTTGTCTACTGAGTATAATATATATGTATATATTTATGTAACAGATATAAGATATAAAAAAAGAATTAATCGAAAGTCAATAAAATTAGTTATAAAGTAAAAATATATAATAGAAATTTAGATTTAATAATATTAAAATATATAATAAAAGCTCAAAAATAACTTAAAAAATCAATATTATTATAATACAAGTATAAAAATAATACGTATGTAATACAAAATAGTTACATTAAATCAAGAAATAAATATTTAAAAGTAATAAAAATTAATTATAATATAAAGCAATGAATACAAAAAATATCAAAATAAATAACAATAAAATCAGTATCACAAAAAAAAATACAAACAATATATGTAATAGTATATTACAAAAAGCAAGATATATTACACATACTATAAAAATACGTAATAATAAAATTAATATATAATACAAAACACATATACAAAAATATATAATAAAAATCAAATTATAAATACAAAAATATATTAAATAAATATTAAAAATATAGAAAATATATTGTACAAAATCAAAACAAGTAATATAAAATAAATAATATAAGCATAAAAATATTTTACATCACATAAAAATGAAATTAAAAATGCAACACAAAATAAAACAATATTTAAAATAAAACATTAATATATGAAAACAAATAACACTAATACTGGAATAAAATATAACAAAAAATTAAATGCACTAATATAAAAATATATAAAACAATAATGTAGTTTTTTATCGTTTCTATGTGTTAAGTAAAAGACTTAAACCCGGTGAAAATTAAAAACATATATATATATATAAATAAAATCCAACATGTAGACATACAATGTATAAAATACAGTATATAATTATAAGTTACAAATACAATAACATAAAGATACAAATATATAAGATATAAAATACAAATATAAATACAATGAAATGTTATATTTAAAGATAAATTACAAAAAAAAATTAACAATAAGAATAAATTGAAAATAAAAATAATTTAAAATACAAAATTAAAGTTAAAAACTCAAAAATAATTAAAAGTAAAAGTAAAAAATATGTTATAAAATAATTAAATAATTGGAATAATTCAGAACTTTAAACTAAAGTTAAAAATTAGAAAACATTAATACAAATATAAAAATCGAAAATACAGATATAAAAACAAATAATACAAATTATAAAATGAATTCCAACTAAAAATTAAACGCACTAATGAAAAAAATAAAAATTAATTTAATTAAAAAAGGAATAATTTATTAATTTAATAAAATGTGTAACAAATAATTGTAATATAAATACAAAGTTAGGTATCTTACAAATATAATATAAATAGATAAAGTAATATTATAATAAATATAATATGAAATATGAATATTAAATATTAAAATATGAAAATATTTTATATATAATATTATATATAAATAATGAAAATAATTTGAAAATAAAAATAATTCAGAATATAAAACTTAAATGAATAATTCAAAAATAAATAATACATATACTAAAATTAGAAATTAATTATACAAAAGCAAGCATAAATAAAACAATTATTAAAATAAATAAAAAAAATTAGAAATTAATAATTTTTAACTCAAATGATCAACAAATACATGAATTCATTGTAACGTAAAATTAACATAAAAAAAACATAAATGTAATTATACATAAAAACATTAAATAAATATAAAAATAATTAATACAGAAAACATGCGTGGATTACAAGTTAACCAGAACACCGAATTATGTATTTGAAAGACTTAAGAAAGCGATGGTGAACCTATTGCACCTATAAACATTTCTGTGGCACGTTATAGGTTTTCACCACATAGTACGTATGTTCTCATTAGTATAGGTTACCGATGACATATGTAGCCAAAAAGGTTAGATAAGTGTTGTGAGCCGATAAGTAGCACGATTTTGGTGTAATGACCAACTTTGTTTGTTTTTTTTTTTGGCCACTGTAGATTTGCCAAAGGCTGTGTAGAATAACAAAATAAAGACATATGACACGTAGTTATAAAAAGTTGCGCCATCCCTACTCGAAATAACATCGTTCACATTTAATTTTAGTTCACCCGAACTACATAATCTTGTTTTCTTTCCTCTACTTCTCTTACGCACAAAACTAAACATTTTTTGTTTGATTTTTAATCACTTTGTCATACTGTAAATGTTGCATACTCCTGCGGTTGACCTCAATTAAAATTTAATATTGAAATTTAATACAATAAGCAGTGTTTTACGATTTACGATTACAATTTATTTAATTAATATTTCTTTTATACATTCTAGCGCTTCTCTGCTTTTCCGTTTCGGTTAACAATTAAAGCATAATTGCTTGAATTGAAATAAAATTTTTATGCAGTAACATTTGTTTATCACAAACGTAACATTTGATTATTTCTTTTATATATATATTTTTTTTGATATTTGGCGGTACTATACTGCAACTTCTAATTCTTAACGAATCGGCACCCATGGTTCTAACACTTCACCAAATTTCTTGCGTTCTGCAAAGAGAAGAAGAAACACATTAATTTTTTTATTTCAATAATAATGATTCATAGAACTAAAATAAATATTAATTAGACAATATAAAAAAACAAAATCAATTAAGAGATAAAATAATATAGAAATTTTATTTAATATTACTGTTGTATCTTTTTTAATACTTTTACTCTGCATTTTCACGAAATAATCCATCCTTACAAACAAGAAATACTCTTATGATCGAACATCCTTTATTATTCATCAGTTGAAATGAATAATAGTCAGTACGATCTTTTAAGAGTCAAAAACTAAAAATAAAAAAAAAGAAGGAGAACAGTATAGTAAACAAGTTTTTCTTATTCGGAAAGTCATTAAACATTAGTGACATAAGTTCGTGATTCGATCCATGAATCCAACTAAAGCTTTCGCCCCTTTTTTTTTTTACATCATCATTTACAACTGGTTTCTAATCGCAACTCTGTTCAGTCTGTGTAATTTAGAAATTTTAGAGATGCGTTAATATTTATCTTCACTAGCTTTTCCAAATTATTAAATAAGAAAACATCCATTTTTTGTCTGGCTGTAGTAGTGACAGCAGCAGAGAACATTTAATTTCAGCAATTTGATCTTTGATAGGCTAGAAACCACTGAAGAATGTCATCAATATAATGACATCCCTTCTTCTTCTTCTTCTTGTTATCAGTGACTATGTTTGGTTAAGATTGCACTAAGACTATAATAACCAATTAGTCACAGAAGCTGCAAACATTTTCAATTTACAATAGGTGATTCTTAGGTCAGTAACGTTGACAGAATGGTGTCAATCCAGGCTATTTACTAGACAATACTTTTTGGCAGCGTTTTTGTAGTTTATTATTTGTAGATTATATTGCAAAGGGAGAGATTTATCACCTTTTCCTTCAATGGATACGTCTGCGGTGTACATACGCTATGTACACACCTCTTTTAACTACATTCTGTGGTGTGATTGATGGATCTCAAATAAGTTCTCGAATGAAACCTTTTCCTCTTTTTACCAGTTGATTGGTTTTTTCATTTTCCTATATATTACGGAATTCCCGGACCTACATCAGAAATAAATTATACTGTTTACTCATGGTGATAAGCATCCTTCTGCTTTGTTTCACACATAAAAAATTCTTGACTGAGTTAAGAATATCAATTGTAAATTGGCTATCAGATAGAATTGCGAAATTAGTTTTGAACGTATTAATAGCAATCATTATTCTACATGTGTGCCTAGTTTTGATTTTAGACTAATGTAGAAGTTTTCACTAACTGTTTAACCCTCTCTCTTATTATTATGGTTGTTTCCTTTGGGTGTGGCGAATAGCATTTGATCATCAAACTCAATGAGTGACTCAGACACGTAAGCCCGAAAGTTCTTAGGACTTAACCCACTGAAGTTGGTGTTGTTGACCATGTGCTCACTCGTAGAATTATTACTAAAATTTTCGTATTATTACAATAATTTTTGAGTTGTCTCTCGTTATTGGCATGTTTAACTGAAAATTCACATTGCAGGTGCTCTAAGATCAAATGTGGATGTGAGTGCACGCTTTAGACTATTTTCGTATAAAATTTCATATCTATAATCTATAGAGCTTATTAGTTTACATTGGCATTAACTTTATATTCAGTTAACCGAAGCATAAATAAAAGAAATGACTCTAGAATGTTGTTAATGATGTGACAACCCGTCAAAATCTGTTGCTATTGTTCCATTTAGAACTGGTTCCAAAAGTGGTCACTCATCAATTTCGACCACCAAATATCGTTTACAGCGAGACATAGATCCGAATTTCATTATTGTATCTATTGTATAAAATTACTTATTATGCAGTCTTAAAAATCTGCATAAATAGTGATGGTAACCAAACGTAGCTTTATGATATAATTAAATAATTAGATTTACTTCTAATTTAAATACTTAAATACACAATAATAATCATATCAAAACATTGGAGATGAATAATAGGCAGCAATAGAGAAAAATTATGGAGGAAGCACCGATTTACTTCTGTAGTTCATACTAAGAAACAAAGGAAGAACAGAAATACGTTATAAAAATATGAACACTTGATAACAATAACAAGAGCTTAGTATATAAGCAGCATATAATATCTAAATATCAAAATTCTTGAAGAGGTGGTCTCAGTAATTTGCTTCAATTAATTATTTCTTTTCAGTTAATTTTTCTTTAAAGCGATGGATTAAGACATGGAGAAATAGCATACTATAAATAAATTTGAATTAATAAATCGAATTAATTTTTTTAAACAATTTTCACAATGATTTGTTTTTGGATCAACAATTAATTTGACTTAGTTTTTATCATTTTAATGAGAATACATATCATTTATTTATGATACGAAAGTTCGCCTTTGAAATAAAACTACAAATATCGTGATGTTATTATGGGTGCATATTAACTATGGTTTTTTGATTAACATTCTTTGGATTTGAACTAATATTTATTCCCTATCAAACCACTGTCGAACCCACATTTGTTAGTATTGCTTCTTATGCAACAAAAACATTATTTATACGTCATTATTATACATTATTAACTGCGATAATTCGAAAAAAATTTACTTACCAGTAACTGGGAATAGATCTGGATGTGTTTCCACATAATGTCTCAGAACAGCATCGCGTTTGGCTAAATGTGCATCACGCTTTCCATCAAAGTATAAGCCTAAGGCACCGCCGATAGCAGTGAAGCCAATATGTTGTTGTATTCCTACAATAAGAGAGTATTATTTTTTCTAAAGCACAAGAACTTTAAAGTTCCATTAACTTAAACTATAACAAATTATACTGAAAATTTCAAGTTACGTCACATTCCTACACACCAGAAAATATAGGCTTTCGCATGCCAAAATTAACAAAACAAGCAACGCCGAAACCACAAGCTGCGGCAATTACCGGATTGTACCATTTGGCTAAGACAGACAATTCACGGTCGCCTTTATTCGTTAACAACTCAAGTGGATCGTAAAGATTCGACATTTCTAAACAATTTCAAATAAATTTGGTACAATTTCCTTTCGCGAAGCACCAAATATGAAAAACAAATGACAGCTGCGCACAATTGTCAAAGTGCAAAACAAACTTAACTGTCAGAATAAATGTGCATTCAAAATTACTTAAAAATCATTCACAATAAGTTTATACGAGACAAACTGCAGTAACAGGAAAGAGCTTAATACATTTTCTTTATAAAACTTGATATAGACGATATTAAATGTATGTAAACCAAGTATACCATATACCATGCTACCAAATCGCACTATGTATATTCAAGTATACCAAATTTCAGCCTGCAGACATGTATATGGTAAAATTACACCTTGATTTACCTTGTATAGCAAAGCCAATACCTAGTCAGCATACTTGGTGGGCAGACATGTAACATCGTACATATCAGGCTTAAGGTGTATTCTTTTGATATAAATGCTCCAATATAACATGTGTCGCTTCAAAATTAACATGCAAAACAACGAGTGCTTAACGAATAAGCCACTCACATTACAATGGTGCCAAATCAAAACTGATCTATTCTATGCAAATGGAAAACTTTAGTCAGATGTTGCGAGTGTCATTAACACTGTTTAACAATAAATTTAAATATTTTTTAAAAGTTATTTTTTTAATAATATTTGTGAAGATGGCTGACAGATTAGTAATTGTAGGAAGTCATTCGTTAATTATTTATTAAGGAATTCTTAATTTCTGTATTATTCTATACATGAATAAATACACAACACAATCGTTGTTATAAAAGCAAATAGTTATAAGACACTTGCAAGAAAAATAAAACTGTGTTTATTATTATTATTATTAATATTATTAAGACATGTTCTTCATTATAAAAATTAAATTAAAAATTTAAAAATTAGAACTTAGTCTATTCACAAATAATATTTATAAACTTCTTCCATTCCTCTCTGTTTCTGGCATTAAAACGTAACTGGTCAAAGGATTTGCTTGTTTCTGCTGCCACTGTTCTTCGCCAGGTGGTTTTGGGACGACCTCGTCTCCTTACTCCTTGCGGGTTCCATTCCATGACTACGTGGGCAATTGCATCTGTCGGTTTTCTTCAGCCTTCTGAAGAGCTGGAGCTATCAAAAATTGCAAATGTGAAATAACGAAAAATACTGGGAGGGTAGAACTTCAAAATAAGATAATAACTCCAAAATGCGGCTAATAAAAAAAGTGATCTAGTGGTGAAAAGTCACCGAATAAAAGTGCAGAAATATAATTATCTCAAGTGAACACGTTCATAACAATTGGGAAGGACTCTCATTATGTGAGAAAGTTACCTTCAAGATGAGAGCCGCGTTCATTCACACTCGATTAAAAACAAACATTTATATGTTTAAGTTATATAAAAAGATTTACAGTTCTTTTTATTTTCTTAATATTATATAAGAAATGAAAGATATGATGGAGAACTCTCCATAGAAAATTAGGTTCTATTATTGAGCTCATGAATTGTTTGATTAAAGAATGTCTACCTTCAAATAAGCATCAAGCAAATGTCAAAAAATTCTTTATCCAGAAGTTGAAAGATAAGAACATGTATTCTTACCAACGTACTTCTTCCTTAACATATGAGCTTCAACTTTTTATTCTATATTAGAGTAAAAATCGAATAACAGCATTTAATAATAAACAATAAATTTTTAATAACCGAGTTTTTTTCTAATAATAATAATAATAATTCATGACCTTTTAATATTTGTTAGGAAATCACTCCGCAATAACGCCGTATTTAAAGTCAAATGGATTAATCACCTGCTATATATAACTTCAAACCTATATATTTACATATAATAATTAATACCATTTAAGTCCATAATCATATATGAATTGAAAACCTGCTAGAAAGACAAAGTATAAATTATTTTATATATACTTATAAATTTTATTGTTTTTTTTTTACTACAAATATAATTACAATTAAATTTCTAGTTAATTACATAAATATATAGCTATTTTAATATATTTATATTAAACATTAAAATTAAAATAAAGCATGTAGTAACAATTGTAAAATATACAGCACATTGCAAAAAATATAGTGCTTATTTTAAATATTTATTAATGTATATATATTTCACTATATAAATAATTATTTGTAGTTAAAAATATTTATGTATATATATATATGTTTTATTTTATTAAAGCAAACTAATCTTATTGGCTGAGGCAAATTGTTTTTTTAATTTTTTTTAGAGAAAAAAACTTTTGTAAACTTTAAGGCAAAATTTTTTTTAAGGTTTCAGTTAATTAAAATCTCGATTATTTAAAGCCCGAACGAGATATTTTTGAACCATTATAATATGTATATATTTTTAATTTATTTTTCTGCAGTTAATGTAATGAAAAAAAATTTTAATATGCACTAATGATTGCATTTAATAAGATGTGAATTAAAAAGCAATATACATGAATCAACCAAAATATATAAAGTATTGAAATATATTTTAGTACAACAAAATATTAAGAAAATGCAAAATGGTAAAAAGAATTCAGTCATAAATAAAACACTAAAAAATTCATATATAGTCGGATTTTAAAAATATATATTACATAAAAGCATATTTTTTAGAGTTTAGCTACATTTTTTTTGAAACGAGATACATACTGAAAAATTATTTAAATATCTCTAATATAATTTATTTTATAACTATTATTGAAATAAATATTTTTAACTTTTATTATTAAGAAATTATAATTAATTAATTATTTTTAAATATAGATACATCTAACTACAAAAACTATGTTTGAAAACTAACACTAAAAACTTAATTAATATTTGTTTTTATAATAAGAAACTCGTTGGTTTTTTATAAACTTCTTATTTTAAATTATTTATTTAATTAATAAAATATATAGCATATAAAACAAAGTATTTTTATAAAGCAATTTTAGTAATAAGCTGGTGAGGCACTAAAACTTTTTTAATAAATAATATTATATTAATAATTTATTTTAAATTCAATAATATAATATATATAGTATATTTAAACAATTAAACAGTATTTATATTAAATATAGCATATAAAGCAAATCATCGAGTTTAGTTGTAAGCTGCTGAGGCACTGAAGTTTTAATAGTATTATAGTAATAATTTGCATCGAAATAAATAATATTATAAATAAAGTAAATCTTTATAACTAAGCAATATAAATATACATTAACACAACATAATTAATACAGATGCATAAATATTGATTAACATATGTAAATATTATGAAAATATAAAGTTTAAAACAAACTAACGAGTTTTTTATTATAAATATTTTTAACTAATTTAACTATTTACGACACTGAACTTATAGCATTATGTGGCGAACCCATTTGAGTTAGTACTTTGTCCAACCATTGCAATGGTCCATGTAAATGTATTTCGATCCAACAAGGTGTCGAAGTCACATCTTGTCGATGATATTCAGCACCCCAACCTTTCACAAAACTCATACGTATTGTGCACATTTTTGTTAGTTCGTAAACGGCTTCAAAACCGTTCGTTACCGACTGCGAGAGAAGTTGAGCGAATTCTTGATTGTTAAATATTTTTAGTGAACAACCTGGCGGTATCTTGCAGACTGTACTAGGATGAAAACCGTGATGATAATTGCAATTACGCGATTGCACGAATATTGCTGAATCTGACAAGCATTCAGCATATACCTCGCCTGCTGTATAACAGAGATGCACACCTTTGCCTAATTTATAATACAAAAAAGTTTCAATTAATAATACAACATTAAATGTATAAAATATACTTACCAATATGACGGCGTGTATTTTCAATCGTACTATTACGATTAACATTACTTAGTTGTCCCAGACAGCAACGATCTGAGTTGTTTGATGGGTTTGTAAATCCATCTACTATAACCGAATTATTATTGCAATGAAAAACTTCACCTACGCGACAATTGAGCTCGTAGTATGCAATTGAAGCCCAAAATGCAGGTTCCGTATAACTTATATGTGTTGCATCGGCCATTTGGGCATCAAGTAGCTGCGAACCATCATTTTGGTTAGTGGAGTTTCCATCTTCCGATGGACTGTACGCTGGTGGCGGTGTGTCAGCTAAACTACCATATGGTGAAGTTGGATTTGAGCTAACTGAACTAGGACTGCCAACAGATGTCATTGGTGGACTATTGGGACCCAGATGTGAATTAAAGCCTGACGTAGAATAACTAACGTTGTGTGGCATACTCTGATCATGCATTTGATTAAAGTGCAACATAGAATGGCCGGGTGCGAATTCTGAATGACGTGGTACTAGTACAGGTGGTAGCACAGAGCTCTCAACACGTTTATAATGGTAAGGATTAATGCAAACTTCTTTCTGTTTAGCACTGAATGGATATTCGCAAATTTCTAGTGGTTTGAGTTCATGGTGTGACTGCAAATCCGGCCAACGCCAAACTCGACAGTATATGACATGCGGAAGACCTTTTCTATGAGATACCTAGTTAAAATATTAGAAAAAAATATAATTATTATTAATAGGGATGTTATGAATTTAAAATAAAGAGATGCATTACTTGCAAGCGTCCATCCAATGAACGAGGTATAGTTACGCATTTCGAAGGTTGCCCTGGACAAGATAGAGCACGTTCAAGTTCTTCAATTGCACCTTTTTTCTTTTTTAATTTCTTAACTAAACTGTCGACTGCTTTCTCAGCCCATTTTTCTTCCTCATCACCCTGTTTCCAACCAAGTAATTTTTTAACTGCAGGTGATTGGAATGTGAAAAGTGTGCCCAATGTGGACATTACACGGCTTGTAGGTGATTCAACATTATCGGTCTCCATAGTGTAAGGTGGATTTACACAGAGATCGGGACAAAAATTATTTGTTTGATAAACTAAAGGAAAAGAATAACGAAATATTATTGTCTATTTGCTGTTTAAAATACTAATTTATTTAAGAAATAGGTATATACACCTATTTGTATGGTAAACAAATTAACTACTGAAACATCTTTTTCTGATTAAAGAAAATTGTGTGCGACTGATATTTAACAGAGTTGACCTAAATTAATATTATAATTGGATAAAAACAACTTTACTTCATCTTATCTTTTTTACAACTTTATGTTATTTCATCCACTGCTTTTATATATATTTGCTTACATTATAACTTAATACAGAGGTAACATATATTATCTATTTCTTAGAATAAAGGCTAGAGATGAGTTTTTCAATCAATGCACTGCAAGAATAGTTAATAATGTGCGCAGATGTTAAAAGAAAGAGGATCACTCGCTTGAATACTTCCACCCAACTACAAAAGTTTATTTTAACGTATTTAAGGGATCCTATTCATTGTGGAATTGGGGTTCCTTTTATTATCTATTGTTTTAGACATTCTAAACTAGTACTTTATTTTGTAAAAAAACCGCGTTAGAAGATATAATATGTTAAGATCTGGTAAAACCATAGTCATAATATTTTACTGACATGAAATAGTAATAGACAATACTTAGTAAAAATTATAAAATTCTTAATAAATAAATAACCTCATTTCGGTGTTTTGAGGTATATGGCGAGCAGCTTCATGTTTCTTTTTGAACAATGACTTAAGAGTGAATACCGGGCAATCATTGTTAATTTATGACTACTTGGCAAGCAATAGTTTCATTTCGAAAACTAAGCCATCAACCCACTTTATCAATCACTTGTTAATCACTAATTTTTCCAAATTACCGACCAGAAGCATACACTCATGCAACATACATTGATTATATACTAAACTGCATAATCAAATCAAATAGGAGTTTTGAAAAAAAATTATTGTCTATTTTTTAAATTTCACAATAAATTTGGAAATATTACATGACAATTATATACGACGACTAATGCAGTTAGCACTTTAATTAATTAATTAAAAAAACATTTGAAGGAAGTTAATTTCAAATAATTTTATTTTAAAATGATTTATTTTTATATTCAAAAAACTAAACAGACGAAATTATCCTTTAAAAAGAAATCAATGAATTTGTTAACAGTAATTCTATAGACCCACTAGCTGACCCGGCGAACGTTGTTTCCCCTTGTAATTAATTTCCCTGCTCCTCTGACTAATCATATTTGTTGCTATTTCCATATCTATGTAGATAAAGAGATTATCAGATGTATCCATGTAAGAAGCAATCCATGTTAAGAATTTAATCACATAGTTCTAAGGATAAAGCCTAAACAATGTTAAAAGCGTTTGTTTTATTTATGTTAAAATTATAACTAATATCGCTTAAAAACTATAAAAATATTGTCTGAGAGTATGACGAAGATTAGTTAAGTCATTAAAAAGTTATTGAGTAACGAACAGACGAACAGAGAGAAAATGTTAGAAAGATATAGAAACACAAACAGAAGGAAACAGTAAAGTACAAAATAAAAGAAATATTTGAAATATTCAAAAGAAAGAGGTATTGAAGGAGAAAGGGATGAACGATAGAGACCATGAATGAGAGTGAGATTCAACGAAAGATAGGAATATAGAAAGAAGGAACAAAAATAAAGTGAGTACGAAAAAGGAATACTGAGCGTGAATAAGAGACTGTGATCGAGAAAAAGGGATATTAACGGAGGAAATATATAGTATCCGAAACAATAGATAATGAGCGTTAAAAAGAACTACATAGATTACATAGATATTAAGAGTATCAGAAAATGCGAAAAGGAAAGAGACAGTTCTCTCTTCATTTAATATACTGAGGTATTTCCCTGTTTATAGATATGTAGCAAAACAGAAAAAATTATTTTATGCCTATAAAATGGCAGGTTGTGGACATGTTAACCACGTAGCCTTTAAGGCTAAGCCTTAGTACAATTCTAGAATGCTTTAGTTTGTATAAAACGGTTGGACTTATACGAATCTCAAATACGTATACATAAGCAAAAATACTTAAAGATAAAGTTCTATTTTGTTGCATATATGATATAGAACAATGTGGACGGTTCACTCATATATTCAACATTGTGAAAAAATAACAACTGGAGTCCAAAATAATAGGAAAATATGAATATTTATAAAAACTCAGGCTTAGAAAAGACGAAATATGTTGTATTCATGAAATCAGAAAATAATGAATGAAGAAGTAGTTTTATTACTATAATGACTATTTTAACATATAAATCAGTGAAATGATTGGGACTCACTTTATATTTTTTGCATTTTATTTTTAATATTATATAAACTCAAAATTTCAATTATTTTTAACATTTATGATTACTCTATTGCAATTCAAATGAATCGTGAGTAACTGATTGATAAATAACAACTGAGCAGATAAAAACGGTTACTCATACCGCATGCAGTCGTCATTAAATATAATCTAATCAAATTTTAATTAATATTAACTGAAATTGTCTGGTCCAGTTGGTAATGAATTGGCCAGGAATATAAAATCACCGCAATCTTCAAAACTGCTGTCGATTTATTTTTATTTTTTTGCAATTAATGCAGTAGTAAAAATTAATGAAAAACTTGTTTCTGATAAATTAAAAATTTTTAATTAAAATTAAAATTAATTAAATATTGTCACACGTAATGAATATGTGGCACTAAAATTCAGTCTATGCCATTCTCATTAAAAAAAAATAAATTATTTCTAGAACCAAGATTTATTATTTAAAATAATTACTATTATTTTAAATAATCAGTCACTTAAACCCCTAATCGATCAGTTTGTCTGTCTAAAACATACTGTCTTAGTAGAATTATGGTAGAAACTAATGGATTTATTAAAAACATCAGACGTCTAATATGAAGTTAGGTCAATCATATTTGACGCAGAAATTTGTTGTGATAATTAATACAGTCACCTAATAGAAATTTATACCTATAAATATAGTCAGTCACCTAATAGAATTTTTATATTGTACGTCCTATGACAAGCAATCTATTTTGAATGAAAAGTCACCTAAACTTTTGAATTCAAACTTTCCCCTTTTTTTTACCACTTCAAACTCCGTGTAGTTTAGTATAGTATATGTGTGTGTAGGTAGCTTTCATAGAATCACATCTCTAAAGCTGCAATATTCCACAAAATAAAATTTGTCCGAAATCAGAAATAACTTTTAAGAACGAAAACCGTTTCCTTTTTTTTTTTAACTAAAAAAAACCCAGCTGCTGGTATTCTCCGATTTACATTCAATTTACAGTTCAATGTAGAAAAAAAGCGGGGCAGTTTTATTTACTGAAGTTCTCCTCAGACACAATATTGATAATTCATGCACGCATGCGCATTAATAATCAATCATAAAGACGACATACAGACACAAACATATACGACATTTATATTGATATGATATTGATATACATATATATATGTTATATATATAGATATATGTTATATTTAAATATATGCATACGAACGAACGTTTCGAATGATAAAGAAAACTTATCTCACTTCCGTCCTCTAAAACGGTGTTTAACGAATTAACGAAGCAATGGGTCACAAGGAAAATAAATAGTAAAGATCAGAGAGATAATACAAAGAATCTATTATAAGACAATATATTGAACCAAAATAATAGAGAAATAAAGAAATATTTGAATTGAATTGAGTAACACAAACTCATGCTAAATAATTTAAATAAATTTTATTAGATATATTATATTTTATTTATAAATAAAGGAAAACAAATATGTTTTTTTATATAAACGCACACATCGTTTGCACTTTTCCACTCCACTCCGCTCAGCACTTTTAATTTCGTTAAAGTTCACTTATCTGAGTTGGCGCTAAAAGGGTCAGGAAGCGACGCAGCCCTCCCCAGAGCTTATTTTCATATTTAATCTCAAATTGTTTATAATAATTTTTACTTTTATTCAAAAAAAAAAAAAAACACTATTTAGAAATTTATTTGCGGTTTCTGCAGAAATTCCTTTCCTAATTTCGCTGCAAATAAATATTTATTTAATTTTTTAATATAACAAATCGTTTTGTTTTTATTATTAAACATTTACACAATTATTTCATTTATTTATTTTATTTTATTTATTATTCATAAATTTAGTTTTTTCTTATTTAGCATTCGCAGATCGAAAAAAAAAAGAAAAACCAACAAGAATTGAATTTAAGTTCAAATAAAAGAGCAAAAAATTCAAATAATACAACAACGAAAACCGAGAAGCTAAAAGCGAATCCACCGCGTTGTTCTTTTCTCGGCGATATCAAGTCCGCGACTCCCTGAGCGAATGCCGGCCCGACTATGAAAAGTAGAATAGATTACAATCTGATTAAAGTGAGAAGTGCAGTCAGTGCAGTCCGTGCACGCGAATTGAGTGACTCGGTGAGTGACGTCTTGTCACGTCACTCGAATAGCAGCAAATCAACAAATGTTGCACTTCTCGTTGCAGGCAACAACAACAACAACAACTCACGGCGTATAACAGCAACTAGCAAGAAGCAGCAGAAGAACAACAACAACAACAAACATATACATTGTATGTAGTGTGCTGACTTTGATTTTATTTTGATTGCATTTGATTTTCATTGGCTTTTTCCTTTTTTTCTTTTTTCATCAATTGATTTTACAAGAATTAAATTGATGTGTTGTTGTTGTTGTTGTTGTTGTTGGTAATGTTATTATTACTTGTGCACAGTTTTTGAGACAAACAAATGGTATAAATATAAACAAAATATTATATTGAGAGAAGCACAAAGTTTATAAGAAAGATCAAAACAATATGAATACAACAACAACAATAACAGCAAATAAAAATAAAAATAAAAAAAAACTATCAATAAAAAAGAGTTAAATATTAGTTTCCCAAAAAGGAAAATATTATATAAAACGCATTGACAGAGGCGAACGAACCTGTGTGTTGTTCCTTCCCACTATGAGAAATAAACCAGAAAAAAAAAGAAAATCTTATAAAAATATAAACCAACAAATAAAAATAAATATTAATAATATATTAAAAGGGTAAGCAGTAATGAATAAAAATGTGAGCCTGCGAAAGAAGAAATATGTGCTTCCCCCTCTTTAATCGGAGCATTAATAATGCACACACCAAAGTACCATAGGTAGTCATCATCATTAAGGGTTATCCATATCGGAATATTAAATTAGGAGATATTGAGATTCCTACTCCCCCACCTCTTAAATATTGCAAGCCATTCTACACTAAATATAATTGATTTCTTTTATTATAATGTTTTCTTTTGAACTTTGCAATAGATTTCAAAATCCCGCCAATTAATGAAGTCATATATGACTCCTTCAATACATACAGTAAAGCTAAAATAGTGCTATGATATCTAACATGCGAAGCAATGTTCATCGACAAGCACTAACAAATTAGACAAACAACTTTTGGAACATGAGTAGGAAATATCAATTCTGGTAATATAGAATTAGTGTATGCAGATATGATTTGATTGTGTGGCTTTTTTGTTAGATTTCTGTGCCCACTGTTAATATATACTGATTCGAATAAGTTGCTTAGGTTTAAAGGCACGGTCTTATGAACTTTGGCACAACAATAGATAAAAATGAAGGGTATACAATTTGATAGATTTTGATGCAATAACAAAGATAAGAACCAAATAGGCGTAGGAAATGCTGTTCGATTTGCTTAATCTGAACAACTGAATCTAGCTCAATATTTTTTCATTTTTTTTTTGTTTGTTTTTGCTTCCCATTATTTATACAACTGCCAAGATTTGGTACCTAGTATTCAAATCAATATTAAGAATTACATGTATGAACTATTAACAATAAATAATAAAAACTTTTTTGAATAGATGGATCAATAAATAGATTAAGATTGTACTATGAGCATATTTTATAGCTAGTTATAGATAATTATATTGATAGTTATGATGGAAATAAGCGTTTCAATTGTCTATTATATGTGGCTCCGGCGTTCGGTAGCTGCCTCATTGCTGGGATAGGAATAGAGAGTAATATATATGTCTGATTTTTATTATTTTTTCTGATAACATCTATGACGAAGAGTTTCTTTAAATCACAATGAATGTCATAGTTTCAGTTGTATCAGGCAGCTTATCCTAAGTATTGATAATCCTAAGTATTTTTGATTGTAGTCGTTGCAGTATATGTATGTTGGATATGGTCTTTTCAAGTTAATCTTGATATATCTATCTATAGTAATACCACGGTTATTTGTGTTTGTGTGTGTGAAGACTTCATCATTGTTAATTTTTATATATTTCAGATCATATTTTTTATTCGTGTAGATAACATGTACTGTTTTACTTGTATTTATTTGAACTCCGCATTTGTCGAACCATTCCATCGTTGCGTTTAAGTAATTCTGCAAGTTGTCTGTAGATTTGTTAAAATTTTGATTAGCTGTGCAAAATGTGCTGTATAGTCTGCAAAATAGTCTGCTATCGAACTTTGAGGATCAAAAGGTATTGGGATATCAGTTGTGTATAACAAGTAGAGTAATGGACCTAGTACGCCACCTTGGGATAATCATCTTGGAATCATTTGTTTAAGTTCGGAGATTGAGTCTTTATACTTCATATAAAAGTATCTACTTTGTAGATAGCTCTTTAGTATGAGGTAATGTATGAGGTTTCTTGAAAGTAGCTGGAATAATTTGGTTAGGAGACCACCATGTCAAAAAACGTTGTCGACGTTTGGTCTTTGTAGCGTCTAGATAACCACCGAGGAGTCAATATTGCCAAATAGAACCCAATATTTATGATTTACAGATCGAAATGACTCATATGAATGGCAAGGCTAGGGTTCTATTTTAAAATAATGTGTAAATCAGCCGCAATTATGTTAATGTGAAGGACCAATTAAGCTACAACATAACGTGAATTCATGCTATAAAGAATGTCCCTTTCATTTGCAAGCATTTGTTGTTATCAAAAAAGGACGACGTTGTCAAAGCGAATTGCAATTAAAAATAAAATACGTAAATAAAGTAAACAAAGTAAACAGAATCAATAAAAGTAACTGAAAGCAATGTTAGCGTTGTTGGTATGGAGTGCCGTCTGTTATTAACAGGAAACACGCAGACCCATTAAAATTTCCATGATGTTAAATTGTTGTTCTTTGCTAATTTTTAATTTTAATTTTAATTTTTGCAGTGATGTTTCTTGTTTTTTATTTATCGGAATATTTGAGTATAAATTCTTATTTGTTTGTATATAGAAACTGTTGTAAACTTTGAAATTAACAAACTCACATTTTTTAAACGATTTCTGAAGACTAAATTTACATAAGAAACGTACATACATATATTAACCAATTTTTTTTCATTTTTATTATTTTTTTTTTTATTATTTATTTTTTATTTTTCCATTCTGCTGGAATGACACGTACAAGGCACCAATAATAATGAAAACAAAAACAAAGACGGGGGAAAATAACTCCTACAACAAAAATTGCAACAAAATGCAACGCTTGCAGTTAAGAGCTGGAGAGTTGGGCGCCGCCCATTAAATTTCCGATACCAAAACTTTAAAAACAAAAAAAAAAGTAATAAGTTTATGTGTGAAGAAAAAAGAAAAATGTTTTTTGCAATAATTTTTGTATTTGTTCACAATATTGTTGTTTTTATTGTAAGTGATAGCGACGGTAGTGTTGGTGGTGGTGGTGGCGGTGGCGGTGGCAATGGCAGTGGTGCTGGTGCTATTGTTATGATATTTTTTTTCCAGTTATTATGCGATTCAGTTATGCTCGCCTGTCAATAGAAGTATTTATTGCGTGCGCACGGCTACTAAGCCCGATCCTGTAAGCCCAACGAAATGGTAATTTCAACATTTTAACAAATTTAGATTCTAATCGAGCCAAGAAAAAAGTAAAGTAACAGAAAAAAAACTAAGCGCCCCCATCGATTTTCTTTCTGGCCCACAAAGCATGTGTGAATATGTGTAATTCAAACTATTGGCCACATTGGTTGGGTTTGTGTAGTCACTCTAAACATGTGTCTTAAATAATAATTAACCAAAAACAAACACCAGTAAAACCAATAATAATAACAACTCATAAGCACTGAAATATTAGACTATTTTGCATAGCAATGGATCTACCACAATGTTTGGAGTACATTTCTCAGTTTATTGTTTCCTTGCGATTAGTTAATATTCCATGGGGACACGAGAAACGGTGTGAGATATGAAAATTACAGGCAATTACCAATAAAGTTTGGTTTGGAACGTTTGGAACGTGCTGTCCAAGTACATATCCACGTACATATACCATATATATTTGCTTTTATTTGATATTAAAAACACGAAACTACTATAGTAATAATTATTCCTATTATTTATTTTTACTACAAATTAATAGTCAAAAAAAAAAAAAAATATTGTGTGAAAGTAAATAATTATAAAATATCAACTCTATTAAGAGTACTTGTGTGGAACATTTATAATAAAATTGTTATTTTCGAAACAAAATATTATTATCAGAATATGAAGACAATTTTAAAAATAAAAGGAAGCCCATCGAATGAAGGACATTTCGTGCATGAAATGCTTGCCATCTAATCTACTCGAGCCCTTTGATCATAAAAAATACAAGTTGTGTATCTTTAGATATTCAGGGTTCTTCAACGTTAAAGTTTAACTAAGCTACTTGCATTTGACTTCATTAAAAGTATGTCTTTTTCCAAGGATTATTTAGTAGTTCTCAATATGTGATTATGGCACTAATTTAAATCAAAAGAAAGGCAAGAAAATAAGAGGCACCTGTCCTGAACGCTTCATTGAAGTTAAAAAACTAATTGCAAATGTTTATTCTAAGAATTTTAAGCGTAGTCACTTTTAGATACTTTAATCAAGAATGAAGCGTAATCTGCAATGCAATTTATTATAAAATATCTAAAATTTATTAAAATAGTCAAATGTCTGTACGTCTGATCAGTACTTCGATTAGT